GGCGGGGCGGGGCAGATAAGCAGCACGGCTTTGTGTCTGGTGTGGACAATCTCCAGTTCATGGGATCACATCCATGACACACAGAGAGGAAACTGAGACCCAGGGTAGTGCTCACAGGCAACTAGGGTCTTACAAGGACCAGGGGATGCCCAGCCTCTCCCTCCCTCCTCCCCCAGAGCAAAGAGGGAGCCCCGCCACCCCCTCCTCCTACTCAGCCAGCGCCGCCCTGGCTGTGGGACCCACTCGTCCCACTGACCCTTCCCTCCCTGGGGGACCCTGCGGCCCACCCCACCCGCCCCTGGCAGGTTCGCAGGCTCTCTGTCGCTACTTTGTTCCTTCCGGGCTTATCTCGGAAGGCCCAGCCCGCTCCGCGTCAATATTGACAAAGGCGTGGGTGTGGCCCGGAGTGGGCGGGGCAGACGCTGGGACCAGCCCCGCCCCTCGGGCCCCGCCCCCAAGGGGCCTAAGCCCGGGTTCTCACGTGGCTGTCCCAGCTCTCCTCAGAGTCCCTCCCAGACAGGTGCGGCACGCCGCCCCTCGCGGGGACCAGGCCCTGCAGGGGGGTGCGACCCTCCGGAGAGCGGACAGGGCGGGGGTGGGGGGGCGCGAGGCGGGTAAGACCTGACTGGGGTCTTGGATCGCACTGCCTGGAAACATCCTGGCCCCACGCCTTTCAGGAGAGCAGCCTTAGGACCATGTGCCCCCCCATGTGGCTGCAGGCCGCGGAGGAGCAGTGACACGGTCACCGGGGCCCAAGAGCGGCTCCTCGGAAGTCGCCGTGGTGGGAACCGCTAGGGCCCGAGGAAGTGGAGTCTGTTGCTGTACCCTCCGGGCCACCACTGATGGGCCTAATGGAGTCAGAGGACAGCCCAGAAAAGAGCCCTAGGTCCCCGCAAACAAGGAGGTGTCCCTGCTTCGCTTTCCCGCAGCTGGAGATGTGTCGCCTTGCCCCGTTGTGCACCCACACCATGGAGACACCGCTTGGGCCAGGATAGAGGGGTGGGGGTGGCAAGGCTCGGTTAGGTTGGTGGGCAGTGCTCCCATGTGAAGTGGGGGTATCCACTCTGCTCCCCACCTCAGTGTAAAAGCAGGGAACTGTCAGCTGCGTGTGGCTCCTATTTGGCCCCCCTCCTCGCTCCTGCCTTGGGAAAGGCTCCCAGTGACCGTGTGGGGTTTTCTTTGTAATTTTCTGGGTTTCCTGACCTTTTAGCGATGAACACGTATGGCTGGTCTTTCAGGTAAAGCAATACATGCCGTTTCCCCTAAGCCCTGCCTGTAGCCCCTTTGCCATACCTGGGTATCAGGCCTGAAACAGTTTGGGGACTTTTTCCTCCATTGCCAGTCAGAACAGGGGTTCTCAGCCCTTGCTGAAACTGAGTAAAAATGTGATGCCCACTCTCAGGGTTTGGGGTTTAAATGGTCTGGAGTGGACTTAAGGGATCTATGTTTTTAAGAGCCGTCAGGTGATTCTAATGGGCAGTCACAGCTGAGAATCACTGAGCTAAGAGATGGAGCTGTAATGGAAGTTTGGGAAGGAAAACTGGAGCCCACATACCCTCCTCCATCCCACATATCCTCCTCCTGAGTGCTGGGGGGTCCAGTATATTCTCCTTGGAGATCAGGTGCTGCCCATGCCAATTGTGGCTCTGGGCCTTGAGTGGCCTGTTGACTCACGGGCAGTCCCAGCACAGATCTGCCAGGTAAACATTCCAGTTACTCGGAGGACTCTGCCACCAGCCCCCAGTGCACTCCCCATCCATTAGCTCAACAGACTATCTTCCCAGGCTGGCTTTCGCCAGCCACTCCTCCCCTTCCCTCCCTGGCTTCCTGTCCATTCTTTGGTCCTGAATACAGACGGTATGTGCGCAAACAAGAAAATATCCGGAGGTGAAATCTCAGTATGCCCAAGTCCCAAATAAGTGGCCTCTTGATGCTGTGTTTCCCTCCCACCTATTCAGAGGATCTACGTTCACGGGGACACCTCAGCTCCGGGGGCTGCCACAGTTCTCAGCTGTCTGTCTGGCCATATGCAGAGGTGTGAAGCAGTTGTGGGTATGGGGGCAATGCCAGAGAGGGCGGAAGGAGGGAAAGAAGAGGGCCGGGGAGGAGCAGAGCCAAGGAGAGACACGGAGAGAGGGGGACACAGCCTAGGAGTCCAGAACCAGGGGGAAAGCTGGGGTGACTCCTCTGGCTGGGCAGCTGCCCCACCGTGGAGAGGGCAACCTAGGGGCATGGCACAGACTAGCTGTGGGGGATTTGGGGTTTTGTCTCTGGGTACATAGGTTTCCTGGGCGGACCCACACACTGAGTCCTATGTTGTTCAGGACGAGTATACGTGCCTGGTGGAAGCCTGTGATAGAACAGAGACTGCAAAGAATTGTCTCACTGGCCTCAGGTTTCTCATCCATGAAATGGGGAGACCTGTCTAATGAGATTGTTGACACTGGTGTTATCTGAATTAGGGATCGCCAGGAAGCAACAGTCCTGAGAGTGGTGTGGCCAGGCCCAAGGCTCTGCCATGACTCCCTAGCAGAGGGGCACTTGCCTTTATGTACAGAGGGGCTGGGCTGAGGACAGTGCCTGGAGGATGTCGCACTGCGAGAAAGCTGTCTTGGCTATCTTTACTCTTTCTAACCCTTGCCATGCTTCAGCTGGTAATCACAGCATCTCGGCCAGCATGCCCATGGGCTCTGGGTTTAGGTACCATACTCCACACACAATGCCGGTGGCTCCCATGGGGTGGGGTGGGGGGCTGCACGTGGAAGCCCGTGGGCAGGACCGGAATCCCGGTGCAAGGAGAGTGAGCCACACCGCTTCTGTCTGCGGGGCCTAACATTGGGCAGGATGGTGCTCCAGCGTCCCCGGGGGTCAAGGTCGGTGGCTCCTGGGATGCCGCGGCCCTGCTCCCATCCACCCCAGCTGTGCAGAAGGGGGCCCCAGGAGCCCCGAGGCGCCGGCGTGAGGCCGTGCGGGTGGAGAGAACAGAGCGGAGAGCGAGCGGAAAGAGGCGCTGGCGCTGGAGAAGAAGTCCATCCACAAGAGGGCGCAGTTTCACGTGTTTATTTTTGGCAGGAAGGAAATCATTGCAAACCTCCCGGCGGACAATGCTCGCCCCTGGAAACGTGCACATTCCACATGTAGTATTTCCCAAGTAATGCTGGCTTGTTTGTCACATTCAAATGTCCAACAGAAATCCACGACTACCCAGGCACCAGAATCTCCACTACCGGGGGGTAAGGGGCGGGGAAGGGGTGTTAGTCTGCAGAGAAGCTCCCTGGAGAACCGACAGGAACAGACACCATCAATTTTACAGTGAGACAGGAACAGAGGCAGCCAGTAAGACTTTGCTCAGGTAACTGCAAGCACTTCAAGCCACCCCCACCCCCCCGGACCCTGGCTTGCCAACTGTCCATCACAGCACCTTTTAAAAGCAGAGGCACAAACATCACGAGTGTTTGACCATATAGGGCTGCTTGGTTCTAGATTTTATTAGAGAGCGGTCTTTAAAATATAGGGTTGTAAAGTGTTGCCAGGTTATAAATTTACAGATTTCTTTTTTTATACCAGAAGTTCAAATGCTGCAACCGTGACAAGTCAGTGTCATCAGGGCCTCTTTGCGTCTCCAAAGTCACCTCATCAAAACTGCAGTGTCAAAGGAGCTTCCCCACCAACCATCGGGGTGACAAGCGGTGTTCCTCCTTAGGATACAGGTAACATTGTTTACAAACAGCTAATGGGTGAAGCCACAGACCAACACATAGGATTCCAGAGCAATGGAAGACAGAGCAGTGACCACCTCAGATGGGCCCGGGCACCGCCACCCAAGGCCCGGCCAGAGATGGTGTCACATCATAGGAGCCCGAGTCCATGACCCAAGATCTCCTGTCCCAGATCTTAATATAAAAAATACTTTCCAGGAGACTATATTTTAACCTGGTACGCAAAGGACCAAGAAACTCAGGAGGCTGGGTTTCTCTTTTGGTTAAAGAGTGTGTGTGTGTGTGTGGGGGGGGATATTTTGGTAACATGGGAAGCATATGGCACAGAGAAATAGCTAATGGGGTTCATTAGGTTTTAAAGCCCACAATTTAATAAAAGGTAATAATTAAAAACAATACCCGTATTTACCTTAAAAAACATAAACCCCAAACATTCATCTCATTTCTTGGCCTTACGTTAGAATTCTATTGCTTCATTTACATGTAGATGATTAAAAATATATAGAGAGATATAGATACTCTGATTATGTACATAAAGCAGAATCAAGGGCTAAAATAAAAATTTTGGCATTTTGGAGTGTGGTCAACTAAGGTGCACAGGGTCCAGAAGGCTCGGGGGGGGGGCCTGCTGGTCCTCCCCCCAACCCCCCCCCCAGAGACAGTCTGTGTCTGCGATGGCTGGAACTGGGCTCCATCCCCAACAGCCGTGCAGTGGTGCTCGCGGTTTCAGGAACTAGTAGGTGCAGTGTCTGGCTCAAGCTCGCCAGCGTCTTCACTCCATCTCTCAGAAGTGGGACACTGTTCCTAGGTTCGATTCCCCTGAAATACTCTAGGATTTCAGTCCTCTCTGCCCTCTGTTCCAGAGAAGAGTGTGTGATGCCGGCAGACAAGAGGGCAGGAGGGCGGGTCGAAGGCTGTCCCAGGACTGATTTCTGTGTGGATTTCAACACAGGACAGACACCTGACTGCAACATTCAAGAACATTTAAGGCAGCGGGTCATTAATGACTAGTTTTCCAAATCAAGGTTTAGGGCACGTGCAGATCTGCCACATGACTGCCGTTCTCTGTGGTAATGCCTACCATGGGGCGATTTTTACCGCGACTGGCATGGGGATCACTGGGTTCTGCACACTCAGAATGCTGGGGTGCCTGGCTACCCCTGAACACTTCTCTTCTGAATGCACGGCAGTCCACAGCCCAAAGTGCTGTTGGGAGGACGTGATTATTTTGTGAACGAAAGCAAGAACAAAATTTCACTTCGACACCCATCTTCAGACTTGTTAGTGCCGGTCGCTCCCACTGGAACTCTGGCGGAGGCCCACCCCACAGAGGACTAAGGCAATGGTGCCGACACGAAAGGGTTCTTTTAGATTATTTTTTAAGAGCAATACTTTATAGACTGTCTTGTCAAACAAGGAACATGGCACTGCTTCAAACAGCTCCCTGGGAAAGGCTGCAAAGGAAGCCCCAGCCCAGGGAGGGCACCCCGCCTCTCCTGGCTCAGGGGGGTGAGTTCCACATCTCGACAGGTTTCCCCAACCCCGGCTCAGAAAATAGACTGTGCTTCAAAAGAGAAGACCAGGAGTGGACTTGGGCCACATCAATGCGGTGGCTGGTTGAGGCCGCGCGTTCTCAGGGGCGAACAGTCGGCTCATCACAGTAGCTGATGTTGGGGGACATTCAGAACGAACACCACGCCTGTGTGGTGCGCTGGCCCCCGTGTCTTTGTTCCCTCCCAAACTCCCGCGGCCAGTGCCCGGGAAGGGATGCGGTTGGTGCAGTCTGCAGTGGGGGCTGGGGGGGGGGACACCTACGTTTCTGACCCTGTCCAAGTCTGCAGCTTAGCAGGGAGCAGATTCTGAGCATAGGCACAGTGGCAAAGAACAGTGTAACAGCCGCTGGTCAAATCCATTCGGTGGCAGCGCGGGAGCAGCAAAGAAAATTCCCAAACAGCTCCGTGTGTATCCAGCTTTTGGAAAGGAAAAATTTAAAAATCAAAACACAGATTTTTTTTTTTTTTTAAATATCCGGGGGTTTTGATGTTTCTTGGAACTGCTCTACCCAGAACGACAGCCACAGAACGAAAAACGTACAGAAGTATGGCAGTGGTGTGAAAGCAGAGGTGATGGTGCCACTTTTCCAGGGGGAAGTGTGACCGCAGGACACGACTGTCACCACCCGAAGTGACAGTGATACTATAAAGGTATCTACTGTCTCCTAAAGTGTCGAGCCGCGCAACTGCAGATACATTCCAAACCGGGTCCGTACTGAGTGGAGACACTGCCACGGTCGCCGAGGCTCCTGGCGGGAGCCCGGCCCTGCGGCGTGTCACCAGGCGTCAGAGCACTCACACCTGCTGGGGGACAGGCTTGTAGGACTCACCTCCATCCCTCGCCCCCGCCCCCAGGTTCTAGAAAATTGTCATATTCGTCTTTTTAGAGAATCTAAGACAATAAAAGACTAAAAGATGTCTGGAAATATGTTGTGTAGAAAAATTAACTCTCGGCTTAAAATAACATTCAAAAAGGCACTTCATCCTGTAGGAAAGAGATTCTGAGTTGGGTCAGCTGCTCTGAGCTGGGGTAGAAAGGGACAGGTTGTCTGCTTGGAGGAGAGGGCCAGGGGGACAGTTGAAAGGAAGTCTGATAGATTTCAAGCTTTTTTTTTTTCCCCATTTTTTTTTTCTTTTTGGTATGTTTTAAGAAAAGCAAATCCAGTAAAATGCATGTCCCTTTATGAAATTTGTTAAAAGAGTTCATTTTAAAATAGTTGTTTCTGTTCTTAAAAAAGAAAACAGGTAGGTGTGGCCACATGGACCTCGTGGCCTGGAGCACGGAGTGTCCTCACTTCCCGCTCCCAGGGAGCGGAGGCCAGGTGGGTCCCCGAGGCCGGAGGCTCCAGGGCGCACGGGCGGGAGGCAGACGGAGGCCGGCGCTACCTACTGCAGAGTCTGTGCAGCATGCTGTACACGTCGTCCTCCCGGCTCAAGCCCTCAAAGAAGGGGATGAGGTCCAGCAGCTCTGTGTCCGTCATGTCATCGAACCAGGACTGCACGGGCACCTGGAAGACAGTGTGTGGAGGGGGCAGCAGAACCGCATCCAGCGCTGCGGGCAGCTCCTAGCCTGACTGGGCCCCCCGCACTTTAAATCTTTTCTTTGGTAAGGAGGACAGGTATCTAAAAACCATCATCATCGTCATCATCATCATCATCTTGTGTGTTCTCCCGTCCCAACTATGATCGATCCAAAGCTACCTGGTTTGGGAGGAAGGCAAAGTCAGTGTATTTGCTTTTTAAGTGAAGTCTAAATGCCAGTTTGCGTGCATTTGCCTGTTTTGATTTCCTGCCACAGAAAAGCCGGCCAGGGCGCAGAATATGGGAGAGCTGGCCTTGCTACCTGCCAGTTTCAAAAGCTCTTTCCATTGTATCCAACCAGCTCCTTATACCTCACCTGGAGCCAGAGGCTACCTGCCAGCCACTGACACCAGGGAGCCCACGAACAGGGCACAGGGAAGCTTCTACTTGGGGTCGCCGTGCCATGCTGCATGGCAAAGGGAAGCAGGGGATTTCCTCCATCCTTAGCAGTGATCACTTAAAAGCAGAAGTATAACATTTCAGCACAGTCTGAGCCATGGGCCTGGACAGGATTTACACTTTGTTTTAGAGGGTGGGGAGGGGTGGTAATGGGTGGCAGCCAGAGGTGCTAAAGAAGGGATGTAAAAAGAAATTTGCCGGGTGCCTGGGTGGCTCAGTTGGTTAAGCGTCTGCCTTCGGCTCAAGTCATGATTGAGCCCCGCATCAGGCTCCCTGCTCAGCGGGGAGTCTGCTTCTCCCTCTCCCTCTGTCTGCCTGCTCTGCCTACTTGGTGTTTTCTCTCTCTCTCTCTGACAAATAAATAAAATTAAAAAAAAAAAAAAAGAAGTTTGGGGAAAATCAAAGAAGTTCAAAAGTAGTATTTTGGGCCCTTTTACAAATCTAAAGACTGCTCAGAAACAAAACAATTCATTGTATAATTTAAAAATATAAACAAGGTAAGGATTAACAAAAAAAAAAAAATGACTACTCCTGGGCAAGGGCAGGAATGAGGGAGAGGGCAGACATGGACAAAAGACTTCTCTAAATCAATCTCTGTTGGTGGTTTTGATGTTGGAATCATGGAAATATGTTACCTAATTGCAATAAAATTAAACAATTAAGAAAAGAAAGCAATAAAAAGTGAACCTAAGTATATATAAAGTTGGTGATATAGCCACAGAGAATTATTTCAAGTGATTTTAAAACATAGTGTTCTGCCTGTACATTTCTCCAAAAAACCCTACATGCATTTAATTGTCTTAGTAGTAGTAATAATGTTAGTACTATTATTTGGAAACTACTGAACATGTACAATAGACTAAGTCAAATAGGTAATGATGTTAATATATTTAGGAAATGAGTTTCAGCACAAGAGGAGATACAAATACAAAAACAAAACCAAAGAAATGAAATAAAAACTGTTATAACATTGAATTAGAAAAATCAATATGAATTTATGATTTAATTTTATTCTAAAAATTACTTATATTTTAGCTCTGTCCAGTATAAAGGGCTAGAAGCAAAGGGTATCTCAGTAACAATGAGAACCCACCCAAACTGTGGTCTCTAAATACCATTTCCACTAATACGAACCAGGCTCCATAGAAAAGTGGTTGATTCCAGGGCTGAGGCAAAAAATGGACAAGATGAGCATGGAACATCTTGTTGCACCAGAAAACAGGAAGCGTTCAAAGACTATTGTTATATGAAGGGATGTCTGCTGTCCAAAGGTGAACATTTGAGCATCCAAAAGAATAATAAATGGATTAAATTATAACAATAAAAAAATCCATGAGTTCATATTAATACCTAAAACAAATTCACTGGCTACTTTTGGAAGTTGCTAGAGCAGCACGTCATTTCTCTGAAGACTGAAGAATTAAGAAGAACCAAGGCTTTACCCTGACTTCCTGATTCAAACATTCAAACTGAATTTAGGGTAATCAAGTAGTCGATGAGGGCAAGTTTGATTAAAAAAAAACCCAAAAAACAGAGTTCCAGCCAATAAGTGTGGAAAAAATGATAGAATTTAGAAATCACCATTTCATAATTCTTAATGAAATAGTTGATGCAGGCAATGATCATCAACAGCTGTTCACATTTTTAGGTGAAAGGATGATGGGGAATTTGAAAACAGATGAACAGGCTAACAACACCTGAATCCAAAGACCAATTTAAAATCTTTAAAGGGGCCCCTGGGTGGCTCAGTCGGTTAAGCATCCGACTCTCGATCTCAGCTCAGGTCTTGATCTTGGGGTTGTGGGTTCGAGCCTCACATTGGCCTCTACATTGGGCATGGAGCCTACTTAATAATAATAATAATAGTAATAAAAGTAAAATCTTTAAAAGTAGGACAGCCTGACATTATATGCCTCTTGATGTGATACCATAAGTATACAATATCACCAAGATGTATTCTTTTTTTTTAATTTTTAAAAAATTTATTTCTTTGAGAGAGGGAGAGAGAGCCGAAGTGGGGTGAAGGGCAGAGGGAGAAGCGGACTCCCTGGTGAGCAGGGAGCCCGATATGGGACTTGATCCCGGGACTCCGGGATCATGACCCAAGCCGAAGGCAGATGCCCAACTGACTGAGCCACCCAGGCACCCAGCCTATGATGTATTCTTGAAAAAATTGAAAAATTTGAAAAGTAGTAATCTACCTACTTGTTTAAAGGAAATATGGCAGTTAGAAGAACATAGTAAAACACTACCATAAGGCTGCAACTAGACAGATCCAGAAGAGAGGAAATTTCTATAAGGCAAATAACCAGAGTTCTTCACCAAGTAAATAGGATGGAAGAAAAAGGGAGAAGGGAGGAAGAATTGTTAAGATTATATAAGAATTAGTAGATACATTATTAACCAAAGCAGTGCTTTGACCTTGTTTGATTCTGAGTCAATCCAAATGTAGGACAACATTTTGAGATGATGGGGAAAATATGAACACAGTCTGGATATTAGATAATATTAAGAAACTGTTAGTTGTCACATGTGATAATGGAATTGTGATTGTATTAAGAAGTAATCCTTATCTGTTAGAGACAAATGACAAAATGCATTATGTTGAATTTGATTAACTCACTAAAACGAACACGTTTAAATATAATAAATTTGGAATGTTTACTCAAGTAATCACTGCGCACTAACTAAATGAATCTAGCTTGATCTCAGTTTTTTGTTACAAGTGGAGCCACAGAGTTCTGGCTTCAAGGAAAGGACCCTGGGGAAGCTTTTGTTGTGTCTGAGAAGCCCAGGCTGGGGAGGAAGCCTCCTGTCCAGGGCGGGCTGCTTGAGCTGAGGGCCAGTGTGGTGGTAACTGCTGAGGGCTTGGCCATCACCAGCAGGCCTGGCTGGCCCCTCTCCCCCTGGAAGCGTAGGCCGGGAAGCAGGAGGGCATCTCTCTCATGCTCGGAGAGTCATGCTGCACCAGTGAGCAGGCACTAAGGACCGCCAATGCTCCAGGGAGTTTAATGTAGGAAATGTTCCCACTGTATACTTTTAAGACATCATTACGAGGTGGAAAAGCCTGGCAGGCTTGTCTGAAGGCCTTGACTGAGGTGTTCTTATTCATTCTTGTTTAAGAACTTCTGCTGAAGAGGTCATCCAAGCCTTTTGAATCTACAGGAGTCATGAAGCCAGCTCCAGGAGGTTACTGACGGAACCCTTCTCAGTAACAGTATGAAAAATGCTAAGATCCAGGCTCCCTGAGCACTTCCCCAACGCAGACAGCGTTCTAAGTGCTTTTCATGCTCTGCCACACTCGATCCTCCAACCATCCTATGGGTCAGCATCCCTAGAATCCCCATTTGATGGACGAGGTAAGTAAGGCTCGGTGAGGTTAAATAACTTGGTCAGTGCCAGGTACCTGCAAAGTGGCAGAGCTGGGATTTCACCCAGGGAAGGCCAAGAAAGCCAGCCCAGGTGCTTGAGGACACAAACGTGGAACTGGACGGGGCCCTGCCTTCTTTCCCCCTAGGGCCACTTACTGCATTCTCGGGATGGAAGATGTACGAGGCGGGAGAATTGTCCACAATGATCACTTTGCTCAGCTCCCGGCCCAGGCGACTCAGGTCTTTCACGTAGTTCCCACGATGGAAGACGCAGGATTCTCTGAAGAGCCGGGCCCGGAACACGCCCCAGCGGTCCAGCAGGTCAGCCACAGGGTCTGCGTACTGAAAAGCAGGTCACAGTGAAGGCTAGGCACCTGAAAGAGCCCAGAAACCCTGGCCTACTGCAGCAAGATCCATATACTTTTCTAGAAAGGGATTTAAGTAATTGGATGTGTTTCAGGATCCTGGTTATTTTCCTTTCCGTTTGTGTAAGATACCCTGGATTCTTGCATTTCCTTCACCTCTCATATCCAATCCATCAGAAATCCTTGGCAGTTCCGTCTCTTAAGAGTATCTTGAATCCACCTGCCCCTCTCTGCATAACTGGCACTGCCTGCCCTGACCCCAACCTATGTAACCTCTGCCTGGGGTGGCGGCGCGAGCCTCCCAAAGAGCCCCCTCCTCCCCCTGCATCTCCTTTGCAGCACTGGAAAACACGTCCCACCACACCACTCCCCTGCTTTCAACCCCGACTCTCGACCTGCGTCCCTGGGCTGAGACCTACCCCACACGGCCGCAGCTACGTGATTTCTGCCACCTCTCGGCTCTCGCTCGTCACCTGAGCTGCACTGGCTTTGACCATGGCCAGAGCCTTGGCACCAGTGTTCCCTCCGCATGGGATTGCTGCAGGAGCCTCTCCTTCCGTCTCTTCGCCTTTCAGGTCTTGGCTTCCCCGGCCACCCGTCTGGAGCAGCCGCCTGTCCCTCCCTTTCTGGCTACTATGGCCTCACAGTGGTCTCCTTCACAAGCTCCCTCACCACCCCCAGGGATTACTGGATTTGCTCTTCCCTGGTCAGGGTGCATCCAGGCCTTGTCTGTCATGCTCACCACGATATCCCTGGCACCCTGCACAGCGCCCACCTCATGGTGGGGGCTCAGGAAATACTAGTTTCACCACTGAATGAGTGAGCTGACTTTGAATCTGGCTCGTGTGGCATGAGGCCACACTGCCCCCTGTGGGTGCTCTGGGTAGCTGGGCCAGGCCAGCCCCTGACAGTCACAGGCCGGTATCAGACACCCACTTCCCTTTCCTTGGAGTCCAGGAGTTTTATGAGAAGGAGTGTGAGCCCAGCTCACAGCTGGGGCTCACTCTGCTTGGCCCTCTCTCGTGACCTGGGGAATTTTCCCAAAGCAGGCTGAACTGGATAAAGAAATAAAGGAGTTATCTCTGAGGGAAAATCTTCATAAATGAAGATGTCTAAAAGACTGGGCCGCCCTGAGTGGCTGGGGCTGGAGGCAAAAGAGTGGCAGTTCCAAGGCCGACGTGAGGCCATGTCTCGGCACCAAGACCAGCTCAGCCAGGTGTCACCAGGGCCCGGCACATTGCCGGGGAGGCAGGAAGCCCCCGAGGCTGGGGTGTTGGGAAGGCCAGCAGTGGAATGCACAGCAGCCCGAGAGCCGAGAAATGCCAGCACGCTGCAGGATGCAGGGCCACAGGGCTACAGGCAGCAGCTCCGACCGTGGGAATGTCCTCCTTTCCCTGGAGACAACCCGAAGGGGCAGAGTCCAGGAGCAGGCTGTGTTTCCTGCCGACCAGGTGGGCACTGCAGTTGTCAGCTGGTAAGGGCAGCCAAGTGCCCTAGGGGTACTAGGGGGCTGACTCTTGGTGACACAGCGGTTAATTTCCCCAGAATTGTTAACACTGGTGGTGGCATACATCCTTCAAGGGAATGTCTGAGTCTGGGGGCTCCAGGCCTTGGAGATGAATGTGGGGAATGTAAGCTTCATGAGGGCAGGGGCTTTGTCTCCAGGGCCCAAGACAGAGCCCGACACACAGTAGGCACTAAATAAGTATTTGCTGGGTGAATCCATCAATAAAGGAAACCAAGAAGAGGAAGCAGACATGGAAGGGCTCTGACAGTCAGCGGAGGGTTCCTGGGGGCTCCTGGGCGGTGGGCCAGTGTGGCAGTGCTGGCTGGGAGCTGAGCCCAGAGCCAAAAACTGGGGAGTGCCCACCTGTCCACAGGGAGGAAAGGGCTGGAAGGCTGCACCTGGGAGCTGATGCAGCTGAGCCAGGCTGGAGCAGCACTGAGAGAAGGGCTGCAGAGACAGATGGGAGGCGCAGGTGGGAGCAGTCCAGGAAGGGAGACTACACAAGGATGCTTAAGTGAGTGCTGGGGACAATGCCAAGCAGGAGTGTTTCGGTTCTGCCAACCTTCCCCCGACGCAGCAGCCCCCAACCCCCCCAACTCTCCATCCCCGCTGAGCGGGTGCAGTCGTCCTGTTTGCTGCTTCTTTAGCTGTCCCTTCAGGCTCCTCGGCACCTCAGAGCACTGCCAGGAGAACCAAATCCGCTGCGGCACCATTGCTCTTGGTCCCATTCATGGGAAGGAGCAACCACGGGGAAGACGGTCTTCCCTGAGGCCACGTTCTTTTTAGTATGCAAAGGTAAGGCCTAGGTTTTGGCTTCACTCTCTACCAGCTCATGCTTCAAGGCCTGGCAATGAGCCTGGAAGAATGTTGTGCAGGTGGGGTTCTCTCTCATCTCAGCCATGACCAAGAGATGGCCCAAACCAGGAATGCCCAGTCTGGCAAAGCGGGATGTCTGGGAACCTGAAGGCAGAGTCCTCAGCACGCAGAGGAGAAGAAGGGAGCTGTCCAGAGCTAGGAATTGTTGGCGGCAGTGGGGAACTGCATGTGAGATGGGCAGATGGCTAACCTGGGCCCCCCCAAAGCTCACCTCTGGGGACACTTCAGAGTCCCGGAGCCGCCCACGGAGACACTGGTGGTGCCAGCCACAAATGGATGGTGTTGGCCCCATCAGAGTCAGGATGTGAGAGACGGTCATGGCAAGGATCTCCTCTGGGGAGTGGGGGCCTACCCTCTTGTCCCCCTAGGCTCAGCACACCCGCGAAAGGGCAGACATAACCATATGGGGGGGTCCTTTAACTGTAGGAGAAGGCAAAGAAACCACTCTACGTGGTTAGAGCCAGCACAGATGCTGGGTCAAAGATTCATGCCAAGCTACAAGGCCAAACCATGTGAATTATTTTGTCATCATCAAAAATTATGATAACTAAACAAGGAACATCAGGAGCACTTACCACGTGACAGAGCCTGCGGGGCATGTGGAGCGCAGCAGGTGCTCCATGAGTACATGCTGCGTATGAGTCAGGCGCTATGCTATGCCCTTTACGTGCATTATTTCATTTGATCCACCCCAAGAGGTGTAGAGGGAATTATCCCTAATTTCTAGAAGACACGGAGTGGAGAGAAGCGAAGTCACTTGCCCGATCTCAGGGCTCACTGGGCCAGTCAGAACCCTCCTCCGGCCTGTGCATGCGGGTCAATCTTGGACATTCATCCTTCCCTAAACCTGTGTAAGCTAATGAAGGACACAAAGGCTGGAGCCTCTCGCGGTGGGCTGCCAGTCAGCAGAGGAGATGCAGATGCCCTTTCTCAGTTATCCTGGACACATTCGAGATATCCTGGTCTGTGGACATCCAGCTCGAGGCGGCTGCATGCAGCAACTTCATGGAGCATTTGTTCCAAGGGCTCCCTGTCACCATGGTAACCCGGAAGCCTTTCAGGCTGGTACTGCGCACATGGCCTGCATCCATCCCATCTGGGGTGGGAACCTGTCACCATAGCAACCGCTTCCCCCACCTTCAGAGAGGGCTGTCTGGTAAGACAGGGGGTCGGGGTGGAGTGGCTGGGGACGCCCAGCTAGGAGCAGGACGTACCTTGGCCAGGCTGGCAGTAAAGAGCACACACTCAAAGAGCTGCCCCATCCTCTGGAGGAACTCATCCACGTGGGGCCGCTTCAGCACGTACACCTGCAACGGTAGCAAACAGCAAGCCGGTCAGTCGTGGCAGCTGCTGGGGGTGGCCGAGGGCCAACACCCAAGGAGGAAGAATTCCTGAAAAGGTAACTGCTTCCTGTCCCCAGCTCTATTTGTGGCATGGAGACCCTGCCTGTGTGAGGGCTATGTAAGCAGAGGTGGCACTTCAGGCCAGACACACTCCCCAGACTGGGCTCCGGGTGTGAGTCTGGTGCAGACCCTCCTCCCAAGGGAGAAAGGGAAGCTGACCATGGTGCTGCGGGTCTTAGGGATTTTCAGAATCAGTGAGTGGCAGGGTTGTGCCATGTTTGTGTGAAATGACTCATTCTCTCACATGTGTTTCTTGGCACGTGTTCTGGGTCAGGGCCTATGTGGACAAAGGCCAGGGTCTGGGGGCTGTCCTTTGGGAGGTCCGGGCCTGGCCCATTGCCCGGCAGCTCTGGGATTGCTCCAGCTGCCACCTTCTACCCTTGACTGGAGCACCTCCCTTGCTCGGAAGGCCTGGGGTGGGAGGGCAGGCCCAGCAAAGCTGCAAGAAGTGCCTTCCGTGTCAGCTTGGGAAGCTGTCCACTTGACACCGTAACAAAGGTTACTCTGCTTGCGCTTGGTACAGATGTCAGGGTACATGAAGCCAGCCTACTCCCAGGCCCCCAGTCAGCCATGGGGGGGCTCCAAGCAGAGGGGGGCAAAGAGGAGGCTTTCCTAGAGTGGCTGCTGGGCTCTGTGCTCCTGACTAGGGAACCTGAACAAATCTGAGGAGACTAGGGAGACGGGAGAGAAGGCAAAGCTAGTGACAGAAGATAGGGAAGGTGGGAGGAGGGAAGAACTAATTAAAACTTGAATAAATTCCATTTGAAATTAGCCACTTCCCTAAAATAAATCAAACTTATTAAAATTCAATTCAGCTCATATTCACTGAGCCCCAGCTCTGTGCTCAACCTGAAGAAGTTACAAAAACGAACAAAATGCAGGCCTTGCCCTTGAAGAGCTCACAGTCTAGAGCAGATATAAATAAAAGCAAATCAAGATAAGCATGCATAATGGAAGTTGTAATACAGGGATATATTAAGGACAGTTAACTCCCGTCTCAGGGGGAAGGAATCACAGAAGGTAACATTCGGCCTGGGCCTTGAAGGATGAACAGGAGTTCACCAGGCTGATAAGGATGAGAAGTAAGCTTCCAGGCAGAGGAAACGGTATGAGCATGAGACCTGGCCTGAAAATACCCGGGTGTCAGAGCATGGCCGAGCCCTTCATGACCAGCCCTTTGGAGGAGATGGGGGATAGGAGAAGAAGTGGCTGAAGGGGAAGTGTGAAAGGCAGGTTGGGGGGGGTCCGCGTGGGGCCGTGAATGGCAGATGTTGCCAGCGGTCTATCCCGCGGAGTCACAGAGGGGAGGCGGGGCTGTGTACCGCACAGAGAATGCATTCTGTGCATTGCAGAGCAATTCTGCACAGAGCCAGGACTTGGTGGGAACTTGGGGCCAACTGAACGAGTGGGGTAAGCACGGTCTGTGGCCGAGGGTATAGTGAGGGGCCAGAGGAGCAGGATGGCCTGGGGTGGGTGCCAACAGGGCTGTGAGGAGCTGGGAGGTTGGGGTGGGGGTGCGGGCAGGGCTTGTGGCTGCAGTAGCTCCAGGCCCCCACTTTGCCCATGAGACTCCTTGATGCCAGGGAATGGGTATGGCCTGTGGTCCGCAGTCTCCTTGGGAATACTGCTTGGAAAGCAAGCTTTCCTACACGCAAAGGGCAGGAGACTGATTTGGGAACTCTGGTTGTTGGTGCCTCTGGCAGGGAGGAAGGTCCTGGGCCCGGATGCCGGCGTCCAGGCCCGCGTCCGCGTGCAAGTAACCAAGAATAGGCCCATTGGGACCTGCACAGCCTATCCTGGATTACTTGAACGAGGCCACGGCCTTCGCCAGGGCCTTGGTCCTCCTCTTGGCGCCTGTGGCTTCATTCCCTCAGGAGAGAGAGTTTCTGACCCCAACCCTGGGGCCCTGGAGTATCTACCACCATACGAATCACAGCGCAGTCTGGAGGGAGGCTGGGGGAGCTGGGGTGGCTCCTTCGAGAATGGGCTGGCCATAGCAGGTCAGGCCCCGAGGGTCATGCTCATAGTCTCGAGGTAAGAAGGATTAATTTCTCTCCTAATTCTTGCCATGCCAGTAGGCAGCCTCTCCTTTATCTCATTACTTTGTAGCAGAAGCCAAGATAATAAATGAAGCCCTAACTGCTTCTCAGATGCTGAGTTAATTCAGCTGATGCTTTTGCAAATGTTAAATGCCCAAGTGCCTGCCTTTTGGCTCCCTGATGGCTTTTAAAAACGTGAAGTGTGGAGACACTAGGGATAAGCTGCCTTTCTCAGGGCTAGCTTCCTGGCAGGACCTATTGGCAGGGGAGGGAAGGGACTAGAGCATCAGGAAAAGAGCCATGGGCCAGGAGGCAAAAGACTGGAAGTCTCATTTTAATTCTTCCCATTGTATGACCTTGAACCAACCCTTTCTCTGGCTGAGCCTCTGTTTCCCCACCTGGACAACGAGGTGGCTGGGCCAGCTGATTTCCAAGGCATCACCAACTCTGACACCCTGTACTCAAGGGCCAAAGAGATGACTGGCATCATTAAGGAAAGACCTCCTTCTAAAATGGCTCAAGCACCAAGAGATATTTTCCTTCCTGGGATATAAACATATCAGGCCAGAGACTGTCCCTTTAAGACCCTGGGGTTGACAAGGAAGATGGTCAGACCATGCCTGTGGAAAGCCTGACAAAATCTCCCCCACTCCTCAACCTCCGAGGTACAATGTTCCAATATGTTCATAAATGAAGCTATTCCTAGAGAAGCGTCATGCACATAAGGAGAAAAAATATCAGAACAGAGATGCATGCCAATTAACTAGGACATCTTTATTCAAATTTGCCTCCTGATCCGAAACACACCCTTCCCTCTTTATCCTTTGGGTTGGGATTTTGCTAAAGATTCACTGGAGAACACGGTGTAGGAGTGACAAGATCAGCCCGGAGTGGCTGGCATTGGAAACGGACACCCCTTCCCAAGATTCCCCCATAAGTGGGTGACTTACGGCATCTTCCTGTTGCAGGCTAGGAGAGTAGCCGAAAGCCCTTACATGAGGAAGTTAATTAGACCATTAAGCTAGGCCAGTGGGGGATATGGAAACTTCTAAAAGTCTGAATCAAATCAAAGAACTATTTGAACTTGCAACGACATCCAATATCTACAAACAGATTTTAGTTTCCCTTATAAACTCAGTATAAAAGAAATTCATGTCAGTGAAAAAAAAAAAAAGCAGAAAACCATTGTATTTATTTTACAAAACCTTCTCCCTTTTGATTTAGTCATAAAATTATTGATGAAATGGGAATTTAGAAGTAAGTTCAAAGGAAATGTAATTACCAAAAAATGTTACTTGCAACTCATATTTAGCTTTGATTTCTTACCTGATGTATAGTTCCATCGATTTCAACCGGAACAATAAAATCAGCATTACTAATAGGCTAGAGAGAAAAGAAATGATAATTACTACATCTGAAAGAACAAAATAAAATTGGAAACTTTGGTAAGAATAAGACTTGCCTGGACCAATGTTTTTATTATTGGAAAAAACAGTTCAAGCAAAGGATGTTCAAGAATGCTTTGGTTCCTTAAAATAAGCACAAGGAAGAAAGCACATTTTTTTCTGTTCTGAGTATCATTATGTTTTTAGCATCTTGGTCCAACCTCTCTATCATCTTCCTGGCCTAAACGACAAAGGGTAGGGCGGCCTAGCCAGGGATTGGGGCTTCTCAGAAAACCCAGCTCTTGCCTAGAGCCCTGCCAGGATGATGCAGAAACACTGCTGGCCACCAGGGGGAGGAGGTGAGAGTCTGATGGTCCTAGAGGACCCTGCTACTTGGGGGAGAATGATTTGTATTGGACCCACAGATGCAGGCTGCCCTGTGATGGGCTGCTCCTGCCCATCCCAACTGGGCAGGAGATGCTGAGCACATGGACACAAAGCAGGGCCACAGACACGTGGGGTGAAGTCAGAGGCCACAAGCCATGACCTTGGGCAGGCTCCTTCCCTCTGTACCTTGGTTTCTCCTCTCTTCCACAGCTACAGTAATGGGTCTGATGAGTGCCCACGGCTCCACTGGTCCTGAGCATCAGTGATTTCAGCCTTGCCCGGCACCGGCTCCTGCCCTGAGCCGTGGGGGAGAGGCAGCCCACCCTAGACTGCTCTGCTCTAACACAATGCCCAGCACACCGACAAACTTTGGCATATTTAAAAGAACTCTTCGACAATATTAATGACACTTAAAATCCAAATATGATTCTTTGGCAGTTCTTGTGTAAGTCAATGCTGGGCTTACATATAGTTCTAAATGGAATTCCATAAATTAGGTGGAAACTACTCAAATGAACAGGCCCAAGAGAATCAGAAGCATGCAAACCCCTGGGACAAGTAGGAGAGAGAGAGAGAGGGAGGAGAGCACATGTGGTGGCCACTGGGCAGGGGTGCAGAGAGGGGTGTGCGGTACGGAGTGTCTGGTCAGAATCTGAACTGGGATCTGCCTTTAAGCCCATCGCTGTACACACACACACACATACACTTATCTTTGATAAGTAAACTGAAAATACATAGAAAACTCTAGATCGCAGAACCATTCCTAAGCACTTAGTAGAGCACCTGAGGCTTAAGATTACAATTTATTCACTCCTGTGGTTGGAAGGCCAAGGATGAGTTCGGTATTTTATAATTCTACAACTAAAATACAAAATCGGGACGCCTGGGTGGCTTGGTCGGTTGGGCGTCTGTCTTCGGCTCAGGTCATGATCCCAGGGTCCTGGGATCGAGTCCCACGTCGGGCTCCTTGCTCGGCGGGGAGCCTGCTTCTCCCTCTACCTGCTCTGCCTGCCACTCCCCCTGCTTGTGCTCTCTCTCTCTGACAAGCGAATAAATGAAATCTCTAAAAAAATTTATAAAATACAAAATCATGCTAAAAACACAAGATTGAAGGAAGAAACTCTGACAAGGCATTAGCAGATTGTGCAATCATATTCCAAAGAGTACATTAAAAGAGAAAAACCATTCGCCAGTTCAGAGCAAGCCTGAGCCTCAGTCTCTTCTCACGTGCTGGGTGTAAAGGAGGCCATGCCAAGCCACGGTTCTCAACCTGGGTCTAAGAGTCTGTGTGTCGTACTGCTGTACATTTTCAAGGAGAGGCCTCTGAAATGCTCAGAACACTAAAAACCATACAATAAAGGTGGTTGTCAGAGGGGAGGTGGGGAGGATGGGTGAAACAGATAAACGGATTAAGAGTACATGTATTTTGATGAGCACGGAGAAATAAGAACTGTTGAACCATTGTATTGGGTACCTGAAACTAATATAACTCTGTATGTGAAGTATATTTAAATAAAAAAACCCCACACCATAAAGAATATTCTGCTTGCAAATATAGGCAGGCCAGGGAAGGAAGAGATGGAAGAGACGCTGTTCACATCAGCTCGTGGTATAACGCCCTCCAAGCAGGCCCTGCCTTTGGAGGCAGGAACCCTCTGTAACCTCGGGCAGTCTGGCCAGTGTTGGGAGGAAGCCATGTAGGCTGAAATGGCAAATGACCCCTGCTCCAAAGGGCTTTCCTCCTGAGGGATTTGAAAAGTCCGGAGCAACTTGCCCACAGGGGAGAAAAGGCTTCCAATGCTGTTCAGAGCTGAGCTGGGACACAAGGTCATGGCAGTCACAGGACCAATCCTGGAAAGGCCCTCAAGGTGCTGGGAAGGAGGTGACACCTCCAGGCCCCAGTGGCCAGATGGGCCATTTCCCACTGCTAGAGGAGGTCTGGCACCTCCTCCCTTCTCCCAAAGGACTTGCAGACAGCTGTCTGGCCTTGTCCTGTTAAGGAAGGCTTCTGTTGAGGGAGAAACAGGCACAAGGAGGATGTTCTGGACAGAAAGGTCTCCGGGTCAGTTTGATGGCTCTTTCACTTCCCAATACAATGGTCAAGGAATGACTATGGTTCACATGAGACACATGCCCCATCATGGACGGTGCCTCTCACATCTCTCAGCAAAGGAAGGGGATTTGAGGGCTGGGGGTAAAAGGAGGAACAGGGTCTAACTGGCCAGTGACAGCGGAGCAGTTTCATCTCCCGAAATACCCCAAGGGAAAATAGGACCAGGACCCTTCTTCTTTCCCCCAGCTCCCTATTTCCAAACCTTTTCATCATTTGCCTCTTTTAAACAACTTGTTTCATTTCAAAAAATGGAAAGATGGTTCACAAAGTCACTTCTTAATAGTGTAACCACAGCCATTCCCACATGGACACCCTCTGGGAATGTGTAATTTTTGCTGTCCTTCTGGCAGGGAGTGGAGTGAGGAAGGAGACAGAAAGAAGCTGGGGCGTGATGCTCCCTGTGACATCACCGCAGCCCCGCCCCCTTCAGGAGGGAAGTCATGCAGGTGGATGGATACTCATTCAGCTATGAAGCTTGTAAAAATAAAACAAACCCAGCAACCTCTTCTCATGAAAAAGCTCAAAATAAATGGCTGAATCTGCCCAGATGCTGTCACTCTGGAAGTCTTCTTCAGAGCTGGACACCTTTCAGAAATTGGTCTGGGAAAACTTCCAAGATAGCAGGTTGCTTGACAGTTTAACGGTGCCTGTCCTGCCCCTTCCAATAAAACATACAGCACTCTGACTAGCTTGACAAGTACACAGTAGTGTCCTGGGGCATGGTGCCTTTTGCCACACGAAAAGTATTTCTGCAGGGGTTGGAGGGCTGGAAAACTCAGATCTCCTAAGAATGAGGTCTCAGTGACACGGCAGCCCAGCATTTTCCCCCAAACTACGTACTATTCAACTACTTGAGTTAATGTTTACCAGAGTTAATAAGCAACTGTTCTTGGGATTTCTTCATGCACAGTGAAGTCATACACAAACAACCACAAAATGTCATCCTTCTTTATTTTTACTTTCCAATACAACTGTGACCAAATCACAAAGATCACGGACTGCTTTCTTTGTTGATTTACCTTAAATGAACTGTGCACCAATGTTTCATCTAAATCAATGACCACACATTTCTTTCCATAGTCAAGCACCGTCACCTCTGGAAGGAGGTATTTAGCTGGTGGCTAAAATGAAAAAAACAAAAACAAAAAACAAAAACAAAAACAAACCAGTATTATTACCTTGATGTAAAAGACAAACCAGTGCCCTTATTATCGTATCATATTATGTCAATGAGGTTGAAATGAGATCAAACGTTTAAATGCCTGATTAAGCACATCATGGAATTTTATTAAAAACAACAGGACTAGGCAGTTAACAAATACTGTGCCATTGTCTGAATGGCTATTTGAGGGCCTAGGCTTTGGAACCAGGCAAGCCAGGCTCTGAATATCAGCTCTGTCTCTTTCTTGGCTGTCAGCTGGGATAATAATACCTACCATGAAGGTTGTTATCAGCTGTAACTGTGCTAAAGCGCCCAGCATCCTGCCTGGCACATACATGGTGGCTACTGTTATTGTTAAAATGGGCTACGCAAAAATAAATGTTTGATTACATTAGCTACTTTCATACTTCCAGGCCCATTTCCTGGGGTCCTATTTTGTCTGAAATTCACTGTGGTACAGAAGTATAGTTTAGAGCTATACTGGAACCACAGTGTTTGCTTTTGTTTGTTTTAATGACTAAAATTTTCAGAAACTTGAAGAGTACCTACAGACCCACCAGCAAAATGCAATCCAAAGTGAGTTCCAATAATAGGAAACAGAAATAAAAGTGGTCGAGGTAAAGTGGTGTCTGGTGTCTGCCCCACTGCAGTACTAATACCGAGCAAGCGTGGCGTTGTTACCCCTTGGATTCTCAGTATCTGGAAGTTATACTTTAATCCACACGCTGTGTACTAATCAGAAAACCTATGTATGTCTTTGTAGTAGCTGAATCTAATCTTGTGATAAAGAGGTTGTAAAGAGCTAATAAACGGCTAGGTATCTTCAGCCAACCTCATTCTTGATTCAGAGTTTTATTTCTCTGGGCCTTGCCTCATTCTAGAGATGATTTGAAGTATTTCAGTTTACTTTGTGGTGTATTCAGTATCCAATGTTAACTAGCTAATTTTCTACCCTGGAAGGTCAAGCTCTCTCTGTTCAATATTTAATGCAAAACAAAACACACAAAAAATGTGTCCCTAGCCACTGAAGAACAGACAATTTAGCTTGTTAAAACAAACAAACCCCAAAAACAAAAAACAAGAAAAAGAAAAAAGAAATCAGGAGGTATTCCCTTTTAAATGGATATTTCCTTTTTCTGGTGGTTGGGGGGAGGTTAAAGTGAACAGGAGTCAAGGGTCCAGAGTTAATTCTGGACTTTGCTGATTCAACAGTGAATGTAACACAGGGAAGTCGACAGGGTAGGTAAATTTGCAAGTGTGATGATCATCTTGTCTGGGCTGACGGGGTGAGGCTGCGTGTGGTGATTCTAATTTCACAGGGGCTCTCTCCAGTGAGTGTGGGTGTTTCCTCCTGTCCGGCATCGTCCAGAAGAGAAAGCCTTCATGGCCTCCAACTCCCTTGGCTCTAGTTAAAGTTCACCAAGCAGTATATTCTCACCCAGCAATTGCAAGTGGCCTGGGAGGAGATGTGCCTTAGACATGGGGCATGGGATTTGGGGCCCTAGAAAGGACTCTGTCCTTCATTATAAATCAACAAGCAAGCAGGTGGCTGGAAAAATTAAACTTGCAAGAAGTCCTGTAAAAGTGTTTTAAAAAGGCAGGGTATGATGAGCTCTGTGAGCGAACATGATAAAGAGGATTTGAGTTATTTTCTGTTGTTTGCGCCATAGCAGAAAGCATGCCTATGACTAGAATAAAATTTGTTTTAATTTTTTGTTACACAATTATGTAACAAAAACACACTCTCATTGTAGAGAATATAGACATGTAGCAGACAACTAGTCCCTCTTCCCTGTGCCCCATTCCTCTCCCCAGATACCCCCCTTTTTAGTTCAGTGTGTATCTGTCCACTCCGTTCTCAATGCATTTATATATTAAACAACATTTTCACTTTATGTAATTGCTAGCCTGGAAAATAAGGCTCTAGAAATTCTATCCCTAGCAGATCTGAAAACATCAAAGATCTGCCAAAAGTGGCTCAGTTATTTTCCAAACCTGAGAATAAAAATTACTTTCTTAGCATATTTAACCCACACTTTGCAAGCATTCTCTGAGCTGAAGTATGGAAGAGGCCTCACAATACGACTGGAAGAGAGAAAAGAGGGAGAAGGGGGAGACTCCTCTTAAGCAAGCTACTGATCTAGTATTTGTGCTGCAGAGAACAAGGCCGGGCTGGGGGCAGTGGGCAAGGAGGTTCCGTTAATCCTCAGCCCGCTTCCTAAGTGCACACAGCTTCTCTGAGAGCTTGGCTTTAGATTAATGCAAATTCTTCAGACCACTGGTAAGAATTTTTCTGGACAGCTGTGTCCTTGGAACATGCGCTATATAATTGCACCAGTGCTTCGTTACTTCAATTGATCTGTTCAGGTGATGCTTGAATTATTAACTAAAAATGCCCTGAGGCAAATTTCCTCTCAGGCCATCATAGAACTGGAGAACAAGAGGAACACCAGTTATATCAAGAAGAGCCTTTTCTACACAAACCTCTTGCTCCAAAGCACATGGAGGGCACTGCCAGGGGGATGGAAAGGGTGGGGAGAGGGGGCAAAACCATGTGGTGGGGGAGGGGGCAGGAAGGAACCTCGGCTTGCCACCCAGGGTTTCGGAAGGGCATTCATTTCAGTTTTCTTCCTGGGAGTAGGTCTGGAATTTCCCATCCTTGGTAGTGAACTGGCAGCCACGAACAGTTAACTCTAAGGTTCTTTAGAGTACCCACCCTACTCACTCGCTTCTTGGCACATCAGACTGGGGTTTTTGTACGAAAGAGTCCTCAGGCTCAGAGTCTGCACTCTAGGCTCCCCAAGCCACACAGCTGAGGGCAGAGATCTCAGGGCTTCTGCAGGAGGGGACAAAGAAAACTCTAGACCATCTTTAATTACAATCGTTCCTTTCTTTCTTTCTTTCTTTTTTTTTTTTTTACAGTCGTTGTTTCTGCTGATGGGTTCCTTCATAAGGTTTGGTGGAAAAAAGTATACTACTGTTTATTAAAAGGCTTAGGTAAACAGCATAGCCACCTGTAGAAAACGCATTTCTCTTCTCCCCTTTCAGTGCTTTTATGGCTCAGCTGCACTGCAACCATGCGTGGTGAGCGTCAGGATGGAGTGAGATTCATGAAGAGAGGGCATGGGAGGAATTGGCTCACAGCCCCAGTGGCATTCCTCGCTGGGGCCAGAGCATTTGAGTGCTCACCTTCAGCCATGACCACCCAATCTTGAGGGGGTTCTAAACCCGTCCCTCTGCTTCTTTTCTTTACCCTTCCACATCTGACTTTTACTGGGCAGCCCATGAGGCTTCCAGTAAGATGTGTGGAGGGCCCCAAATCCCAGCCTATGGTTAGGAGGCCAATGTTGCTGAGTGGTATGTTTAATGTCAAGTCCAGATAAAGATGTCACTTTCAAGAGGGGTATAAAAGCTGGATTAATCAATAAATGGTGTTGAGACAACTGCCCTGACACTTGGAAAAGGAAATAAAGCTGGATCACTACTTCATGCCTTTACACCAACATAAATTCCAGATGGGTCAACAGATTTAAGTGTAGAGATAAAACCATTAAATACTAGGAGAAAATATGGCTCACAGTCATAGGATGGGGAGATCTTTCTAAGAGCATGATATAAAATTCAGGAGCCATAAAAGATAAGATTAACACATTTGCCTATATAAAATTAAACTTCTTTGTGGCCAAAATGATTATAACCAAGGCCAAAAGATATACCATAAATTTGGGGTAAAAGTCCTAATTTCCTTGAAATTGAAAAAGATAACACAGTAGAACATCCAGAAGAAATGAATAGGGAAGAAAAAAGACATATAAATAATAAACTTATGAAAGGATGTTCATCCTCATTCATAAAGAAATGCAAATCAAAGCAATGAATTGATATACCATTCTTTACTTAGAGATCGGCAAAGATTAAATATTTGATTATCATCGTTATTGGTAAGGGAATGGGCAATCCCACACACTCCTGGTGGGAACATAAATTAGGCTTTCAGAGGACAATTTGGCTTTAATCTATCCAGAATTAGCTATATCCTTTGATCTAGCTATATCCTTTGATCTAGAATTTCAACAATTAGGAAAGGATCTATAACTCAGGTCCATAAACATACGTGCACAGGAATATTCCTAAGTATTTGTAATAACCCAGAAGGAGAAACAAAATAAATGCCATCAAGGACATGTGAAAGAAAGAGGTAGATCACTCACTATGCACTAATATTTGGAAAGAGGTTCAGGGTATATTGTTCAAAGCAAAAAACATCTTGCAAAATTCTCATTCGTGTAAATATGGTTGTGTGTATTTAGATTTCTGGAAGGATACAGAATATTGAAAGTGGTTATTCCAGGGAGTGGGACCATGTTGGGAATTTTTTTTTCTTTCTACTTTATTTTTTCAGTATTTTTTAAAACTATGAACTTGAATTACTGCTTAGTAAAAAATCAAAAGACCAAAGCTGCACATATAAACAGAGTAGCATGAAAATGAAATAAGACGGGTATGGTGGGAAGAAAGATGGTGGGGGGGCTCCAGCTGGAACTAGTCTGGGTACCCACAGGCTCGGGGGCACCTTTCACCTTCAGGGCCTGGAACAGCTTTCAGGAGTCTATAGGCTCTCGTTTGGGATTAGCACAAGCCTGGATTTTCACATTTCCTACGGCACAGCACCCCAAACTCACACAGGCTCCCTGACCAGGTCCCCTGTGATCCAGAAAAGGGCAGGGCTACTCTGTTAATGTGACCTGCAGCCTTGACAGGTGGGTACAGATTCTGCAGGGGATCCCAAGGCTCGAATCCTGGGGCTGAGCTGGCCTTCAGATGGACTTGCGTGCAGTTGTGCATGCTAAGCAGGCAGTGGAAATCACACTGAGCCCATCAGTAGACCTACTTTTCTGGAGGATATTATACAGTGATGCAAGTTACTTTAGCTAGGCTTTGTTTTTCTGCAAGATATTTCAGAGACTCACAAGGCCTGACCTAGAGTCTCATTTGTAGGAAGGAGTCAGTTTATTGATCTAACACTGCACTAAATTATACAAGGGATCTTCCCCCCCTTGGCTATTTCATTCTGGGATTCTAGAATGTGTTGAGATTTCTGGGGAAAGGGTAATTTTCCTCGGTAGAGTTCTACCCTGACAATGCTTTGTTCGGCACTTAATGAACTTTGAGAAAAACCAGTGCTATGGGAGTATCACAGGTAAGGGAAAAGCTGCTACCTGTCACCTGTTTAACATAGGTAACTCTGCAGGAAAAATATATGAAACTACTCTGTATAACGGTTAAAAGGACACCTCTGGTATCAATCCTACCGGGTATTCCACCCAAACACTGGATAAAAACTTCTGCTTGATCCATTTTTTGGATTAAAGTCAGCTTTCCCGACAAAGCCCAACCTCCAGGCATGCTAGAGAAGTCAGAACCACTCCACAAACCCTTGAAACTCGTTAATGGAGAGTTAAAGTCCTGAGAAAAATGAAATTATCAAAAAACTGGGGGGCAATGTATTACAATTTATAATGGACACTCACTACCAAATATGGAGTCAACCTGTACTAATGAAATCCATTCCTTCCAGTGTAAGATTGCTGTGTCTCTTGGATGTTCCCAGAAAATATGTGAAAAAGTCCAAGGAAAGTTAGATGAACAGATTTGAGTCAAACAATCTGAATCAGAGACTCTTTATGGATTAAAGTATCAATTTATGGACATCTTTTTAAAATCTAAACTCTTCTCTAAGGACACAGGGCTATTTAACTGGTCTTGTTTGATAGGGACAGCTCAAGTGCCAGTTTTTTTTAAGATTTTACTTATTTATTTGACAGAGAGAGAGACACACAGCGAGAGAGGGAACACAAGCAGGGGGGAGTGGGAGAGGGAGAAGCAGGCTTCCTGTGGAGCAGGGAGCCCGATGCCGGGCTCGATCCCAGGACCCTGGGACCACGACCAGAGCCTAAGGCAGACGCCTAATGGCTGAGCCACCCAGGCGCCAGCTTCTTTGGAGAGTCAGTCACTGGTCTGTATCTTGTTGTCTGGCCTCAGGCTAAGTGGCTCTGCTGTCACAGCAGGAACAGTGGGGATAGCTGATGTCTGGGGGAGGGGGTTGGCCTGTGCTGACGCTGAACACTGGTGTAGCTACTCTCCGAAATTTCAGGGCTGAAAAGGGAAGTGGTGGCCCAAGGGAGTGCCCGGCTGGAACAGGGTTAGAGCAAAGCCAGCCTGTAGGAGTGGGGGTGAGTCCTGCAAGTTCAGGGAATACAATTGGGGCGATTTTTTTCTGATCTCAGAACCAGGGCCAAGCTACCAACACTGCTGAGTAAGTCAGAATTGGTCTGGTCACCCGGGCCATGGGCTTGGTGAGCCCACTGGGACAGAACCTGCTGTAAAATCCTATGTCTGGGCCAAAGTATGTCCTCCTGGTCTGTGGAGCTGGGGCTGAGGTGCTGGAGTGGGGAAGTGCAGCAGGCTGCCTTAGCTTATTAGCTTGGAGGCCCTGCGCAGAAAGAAAGGAAAGGTGAGAATTTGGTTAATAGATGCTGGTTGCCCCGCTGTTCCTGAGAAAGGAAACTCTCCCTGTACAGAACCTCCTGCTCACAGTTTAAAATGTAGCTTCATTTTTTAACAGAACAGAGCTGTTTATACCACACGCTAAACTCAACGTACACAAGAACATTAAAAAAAAAATCTTTTATGTCAGTAGGCCCAAAGCTACAAGATTCTATGAATGTTTAAATAAAATTGGATAAATATACATACACTCGGTATGGGAATGACCTGCCTCTGGTCACCCTAAGGAAAAAGAAAAAAGAAATCATTGTCAGGTTTGAAGAGAAGTAAGTAGATCATATACTCCAAAGAAACTTCAAAGCACTCTTGAGTACAGCAGCCCTATGATTTCCTGTTCTCTGTACCTTAGTGGTATTTAATGAACAGGAGGAACCCAAAGATTTTCCAGTTAGGGCACTGGGCTCCACTCTGCCTCCCAGACACTCCCTCCGCTGACAAACCAGGCTGGGTTCCTGAGGCTCATTAATCTTGTTTATTTAAATGGTGCCTCCCTTACTCCCAGGAATTTAATCCTTAATTGAAAAATAAAAACAAAAAGCCCATATATTACTTTGATCCATTAATCCCTCTAATAGCTGGCTTATTTCTTCTTTTAAGTAAGTTTTTCCCTAAAAAGACTAAGCCTTAAGTCAGTACAATATGCAGGGAAAGGAAGACCAGTTATCAGGTTACGAGGAACACCCTGGCCTCTCCTGGTTTTCTTCTAGAGGAGGACTGTGAAGGGGGGACAAGGCAAGGCTCAAGAGGTTCCCCCTGAGGCCACAGACGTGGAGACAGCGTTCCCTTTAAGGGGGACAGAACCTGTACTCACAGGGAGTGTTAAGAAAATTCAGGCCCCAGGGTGGGGCCTCACCCATTCCTCAGCCTCGGAATGCCAGCCATTCCAAACCTGGTTGATGGAAACATTTCATTTTAGCATCATTACGAAATGCTAATAAAATAACACATTCTCTCTGTTATCTCTACTGAGCACTTCCAGTTTCTGTGTTTCTTCTTTTTTAGATGGTTCGATGGGAGACAATGAATAGCAGCATCATAGTTCCTAATGAGGAACTGTTTCCAGTCTCCCACACAGAAGGATCTGTGAATAGTATATCCCTCTTTACTGAGGGGGTCACTGGTGACAACGCTCTCATGGGAAGGGGTCAAACCTGACTTGACAGAGGCAGGTGGCTGGCACCGTTTTGAGCTCTGCTCTGCCTCCAAGCATCATTTAGCAGCTTCTTGATTATCTGCAGCCCTAGTTACCACCTCTGCAGTGTAACAGCGACTACTCTTCCCTCTCGAGACCGTCTTGATGCTCTTTCCTTTTTCAGGACACTTGGGGCTTGTCTTAAGGATTCCAAACTGCCTTCTGCCATTATTCAAGGCAGGGCTGTGCTGCTCTCCAACATGACGGCACAATCAAATCCAATCCCAGTTTTTAAGAACTTCTGCAGAGAAGTTCATTTCCAAAGCTCTTAGGTAATATTACTCCCAACACCCGGACCTAGGAGCAGGTCACTGCTCTTGGTGGGGAGACTTTGGCCAGAAGCTCACAAGCCCATTGGGCCACTACAGAGTAGGGTTTCTCAACTCTGGAGCTACCAACGTTCTGGGCCTGACAACTCTTTGCTGTGGGGGCTGTCCTGAGGATTGTAGGATGCTCGACAGCATCCTTGGCCTCTACCCACTGGAGGCCAGTACAATGCCCAGTAGTGACAATCGAAAATGTCTCCAGATACTGTCAAGTGTGCCCTGGAGGGGGCGGGCAAAATCATCTCCAAGTGAGAACCACTGCACCAGTGGGAGGCCGCAAACAGCCCCTCCACACAGGTGCATCTTCAGACAAGCGGAGCACATCAGTGAAGGAAGAGGTAACGGTAACAAACGTCCGAAGGGCTTGGCAAAACACAGGCTAGGACCAAAGACGCTACTCTGGCCAGGTATTTGGGCTGGAAAATTACCCTGGAAGTTTGCATGCATGTGTGTGTGTGTGCATGGGGTATGCATGCATTAGTGAGTGTCCAGCGATCCCTTTACTCTGCCCTCTCCCTGAGAAAGTCCTCCATGGTCCTGGCCATTGGGGTCTTCTGGGTGCTGGCTTCTTCTTGCCTCTGGCCAGGGCCTTGGACCCGTTTATTCTGCACAACTGGTCTGCAGGTTCAGGCTGTAACCGTGATGGTAGCAACAGTTGCCACTCCAGGCCACTGCTGCGGAAGCATGGAAGCATTTCTCCAGGGTAAAGTGAATGTGTAGGGCGGACAGAACCCTAGCTGCCACCCACTGCATTCCGCCCACAGCCTTCCCTCTGCCTCCGGCCTGTTGAGTTCCAAGAGGCAGGGAGAGCTGGAGGCCAGCTGTAGAGATGGGCCTAGAATCTGGTTCCACAACTTACAGGCCTGGGCTCTGTGTTCCAGGGGTCCTGACCAAGCTCAGTTCGAGGGAGGGCGGAGGGTCCTCCTCTAGGCCTTAGCTGCCCCACTTTGACCCTGGTTCTTTCCGTGGGGTCTGGTCTTACAGACTGAATAGTCAAGTGTTAATGCAAATGATTCATTACTCAGAGTTAATTCTTTAAAAAGCCATTTTGATAAATGTTAAGTGAAGGAAGTCTACTAATGAACACTGAGTCCAGCTCAGCTCTGCCAGAGGAACTGCCTTCAAAGGCCTTTATTCTCTCATAAACACAGCCAGCCACTCCAGGAAACCTGTCAGGGGTGCACCAACATTGTCTCATGGTATTTCATCTAGGCAAATACTACTTTTATTTTTATTTATTTATTTTTTAAAAGATTTTATTTTTAAGTAACCTCTACACCCAACATGGGGCTTGAACTCACAACCCCAAGATTAGAGTCACACGTTCTACCGAGTGAGCCAGCCAGGCACCCTGGCAAATACTAATTTTAAATAAAACTTTTACTATGACAGCAGTGATTCATCTCTTTTATCCTCTACAGACCTAGGGTACCAATTATGGTCCTTTTGCTAATGGCGATTCTCAAAAGATTCCCTAAAATGATTTTTAAATTGGGGGAGGGAGAGTATGAGGAAAGCTCACTGGGGGAACACATCAGAATTTGGGGCTGAGGGTTTACAATAGAGTCTCATCATGTAAATTCCACTAATATATTTTTCTATCCAGTGTACAGTAAGGCTTCATCTGTTAAGGCAAGTCATCTTTCATTATTTTTTCCCAAAATTTTCTCACCTATCCTTAGATATTATTTCTTTTTATAAATTTTAAGTCTTATCTAGAAACACAGCATATTTCTCCATAAATAAGAGCTACCATAGCAAAACCTTTTAATGATTCTATTTTTGAAGTATTTGGGTTTTCTATGTAAATAATCATGTCATGTGCAAATAAAACTAGTTTCCAATCTTTTTTATATTTACACCAAGTATTTCATTTTCTTGTCTTATTGCATTAGCCAGAAACTACCAAAGATTTTCCTATGTTGTTTGTTGTATTTATTTATTTTTTAAAGACTTTTGGTAAAGATTTTATTTATTTATTTATTTAAGAGAGAGAGAGTGAGAGAGCACAGCAAGGGGAGTGGGAGAGGGAGAAGCAGGCTTCCCGCAGAGCAGGGAGCCCGATGTGGGGCTCGATCCCAGGACCCTGGGATCATAACCTGAGCCAAAAGCAGACCCAACTGACTGAGCCACCCAAGCGCCCCTTAATGATTTTATTTTTAAGTACTCTCTACCTCCAACATGAGGTTCGAACCTACAACCCCAAGATCAAGAGTCACACACTCCACCAAATGAGCCACCCAGGTGCCCCATATTTTTAGAAGATAGTTTTTTATCGTGTTTAAATGGTTTTCTTCTATATATTTGTCTGTACTGTTGATTAGTATACAAAGGTTTATGGCTATTACACACTTCATGTATCAGACCTATTATCATGAGAAAATGCCCCTCTTTCTCCTGTTTAATGTTTTTGACCTTGAATTTTGTTTTGTCTGATATTAATATTGCCACCTTTGCTTTCTTTTTATTTGATCTTCTTTTTACATTTTGCCCATCTATTTTCCACCTTCTTTTATTTTTTAATTTATTTTATTTTATTTATTTATTTATTTATTTTTAAAGATTTTATTTATTTATTTGAGAGAGAGAA